AAGTCAGGCCAAGGCCTCTGTGCATTCAGCAAGTTTGGAAGTCTGAAAAAAGTGGGAATAGGTGCAGATTAACTACTTGATTGTGCCCATTTTCACTGGTCACGATTTGCCAGTCAACGTGTTGCTCTTTTGAAGGCACTTGAATTGTTTGACTTAAGGTAGTGATCCGAAGGAGCAGGGAGGGCCTGTCAACCAGCGCAGAAAAGTACTCCCAACTTCCTGAAGGAGAATCTGCAGAGCAGAGTTGAAGCCTTGTCCTTCTGCAGGAAAACGTCCTTACAAGTCATCAAGCTGCACTTTTCACATCATGGTAGCTGGCTCTGAAGCCGATGTCCTTGGCATCTTCCTCTGGTGGCAACATCATAGAGTACCCCTGGACCCCAGTACTGCCCTGGTCCTCTCAGGGAATCCGAGCCAGTGTGGCTGGGCAGATTCATGTTCTCCACACTAGGCACACACAGAATACAGATTCTGACTTAGGGAGAACATCCAGGGTCACACATCTGCCACAGTGGTAGAGGCATTTCCTCAGTGCAACACCCCATAACCTCCAGCAACTGGAAGCAGTGAGGCACTGGGGGAAAAGATGGAGGCAGAAGGGCAGACAAGGCTGTAGAAACAAAAAGCCCCGGATTAAAACTCTAGTTGCAGCAGTTACAAGGTATGTAACTTGAAACAAGGTATGTGACTTCAATTTTAAGCCTTGGTTTTCTCATCTGTAAATGGATTGATATCTGATAGAGTTATTATGAATACCAAATAAGACAGTGAACATAAAGCCCTCCTCTGTAATCTGGCACACAGTAGTTGTCCAGCAAATGTCAGCATGGGGTAGAACACAGAAGACCTTGCTTATAAATGTAAAGTGCCACATGTTGCTACATAGCATTGTTATAAAAATGCTGGAGATGCAGCAGACTGACAAGTCAGGGACAGCTAAGCAGCGCCCTTCTGTACCTCATTTCCTTTACCTGCCTGCCCCTCCAGGATGGAATGTGGAAAGCACAGATACTGCATGGTGGAGATGGATCCTTGGCAAAGGCTGGAGTAAACAAGCTATGAATTGTTGATTGGGGACTAGGGTTGGGCGAGACAAGCATGGAATAAATGTGGCCCGAGGCACCGGCCAGAATGCCAGTTATGTCACAGCAGAAGCAAAGGTGACAAATGACAGCCACAAGTAACACAGAAACCTCATTTTACCAACAACTTTAATCTTATTCCCTCATCACATCTTTTAGATTAAAAGATGATGATTAAGGTTCCCCTTCTTGTAAAGTTCCTAGCTCAACATCTATAATCTAAAATGAAGTCAACTGAAAAAGAATGGACAGGAAATTACATTAATAGCTCACCAATATCTAACAATCACTTAGAAAGTAATAGTTGGCTACATAGAGATTCTTTTTGGAAAGGAGGTGGAGTTGATGCCTTATAGCAAGATTATTTGTTGTTTTGCTTAGTCACATTTAAAGTTTCTATTTCTGTGCATTAACGAGTAATAATGACTAATACTAATTCTGTAGGTAGGCAGCCTGGACAGTTCTTTGGCTAGTCTTACTTGGGATCACTCCTGTGGCTGCAGTCATCTGAGTTCAACAGGACTAGGATGTCCAAGACGGCCTCTCTTTCATATCTGGCAGTAGGTGCTGGCTGTTGGCCAAGGCACCTTGGTCCATCTCTATATGGCCTTTTGTCCTCCACCAGGCTAGACTAGGCTTCTGCACAGCAGATGTTCTCAGGGTTATAGAATAGTGATAACGGGGGATTCAAAGTTTCTTAAAGCCTAAGGTCTGGAATTCACTCTGTGACGTGTTCCCCATATTCTATTAGCAAAGCAAGTCATAACTCAGCCCAGATTTAAGGGATGGAGAAAAAGACTCTACCAAGGTAGCCAGACAAGAAATGGGCTAACGAAGAGACATTTCAAATTGGGATAAGGGATTTTTCCCATAAAACAGCATGTAGTCATCCTTTGCTGAGAATAGAGGTGAGGCATATGAGAAGAGGCAGGAAACCCTTCTGCATGGAGTCCTAGGAAAGCTGAGGTGTCCTTGCAAGTGCACTGGGCACTTCCCACCTTGAACATCCATTGTATGATTAACATCAGGCCATGCTGGGAAAAATGGTTTGTTTAGAAGACTGCAAAGCTTAGTCATTGCCCATCCTTGGCCATCCTATTCTCCCAACTGAAATAAGGAAAATATAGGGAAAGTCAAAAAAGAGCAGAAAAACAAATTGAGTACTGCAACTAGATGGAAGTGGGAAGCCAAACTGACATTACAATTTTTCCCTCCCTCCCAAGTACACATATTAACATAATCAAACACAGTGTCATCGCTTGAGGGCTGAGTGCTTCTGCTTTCTTTAAAGCAGATATTCTCAAATTTCATTCACTGGCTATTTCCAGTTGACTGTACATTCTTACTGCTTGTAGAATGATAGTGCCTATGTTTAGGTTTGACCTTAAAAACATTTTTTTTTACAAGAACCTATAATTTGTTCATGCTCTTTTATTTTTAAAGTATACCTATTCATTTGTGTTTTTCAAAAGCTGATGAATTTTCTTTGTAAAGATATGGGCAAGCTTGAGGTACTTTATCCAGCATAAATGAGTCATAAACTGGCAGGACAGGGGACCCCTACAGTATGTGCAATTTTTATGTTTATAGTATGGAAGCATGTTTGGTAACAAAACTAAACTTTAATAACACGCTGCTTAGCCCCAAATAAAATTAATCCCTAGTCATAAAAATACTATACGTAATAATCAATGCTATATTATCTACTCGTTTATTTTGTATTAAAGAGATCATGTATTTTTTAAAGTCTTTAAAACACCTCAACAGCTTCGTGATATGAGACCCATTCCTGCAGCGTATACCATTAAACCTCTAAAGTCCAGCATTGTACCTAACACTGGGTAGGAATCCAGCACACGTTGTGAGTGAAAGGATGTTAATTATTATTGTTATCCTGACAGCCAGGAACAGAGGTGGGTGGGTACCTGGAATCAGAGTCAAACATTAACAGGAATGATGCCAGATCTGTCCATCGAGACAATAATCATTTGGGGGTTTCTGTTGCAATGTATGAAGAATGGAGAAGGGTAGGAGGAGTTATTTTAGGCTGCCCCAGAAGTTTAGATTTAGAAAGGATGTTGGCAGTCAACTCCTCTTCATAGCCAGTTCATTGTTCCTCCCTAGCGTGCCATTGGAGGGGACACTCCCTGAACATTTATGAGTGAAGAAACCCTCTTTTTCACTAGCCATTGGGTTCCTTTATACTTTTTAAAAGTTTTCTTTATATTGAAATCTGCCTCCTTTAATTCCTACCTCTGGCCCTACATTCTGTATTTGACACTAGATAGACAAAACCCATACTCTATTTTACACTCATTCAAATTGTTGTGTTTCCCCCACTGGTGAATATATTACCAAAGTTGGTTGAGTTTCATAATGCAAACCCAAAGGGAAAATTATCTTGAATAATCGTATGACAATATGTGGAAAGTTTTTAGGGGCTGTGTACTCCACCTCATGGTTTTGAACTGTGTGGTTAAAGACATTGAGAGTCAACAGATTAGTCAGGGATTTCTCAAGAGTATTAATTATAAACTTTGAAATCTTGGTCAGTGAAAGTTCATTTTAGTGCATCTTGCAAATATGATCAAAGGTGTTTTCAGTACTGATTTGATGATGCTTAACCACATGGTTAAGAATGAACTTTTTCATTAGAAATTACAGATGTAATAGAGCACATTTTCAGGGAAGATGTATTGTTGGGACTACTACAATTCATGTTCTTCCCCCACCATATCCCTACCCTCCACATCCCCCATCCCCTAAGCCCCACCCTCCTTCTTGGGACCTCACTGTGTCTGAAAACCTGAAATGGCATTTTGGTTTGCTGCAAAGGAAACTGTGATCTAAACAACATCATTGCGGCTCAGAGATGACCACCACGTGCGGGCAAACACGAGGCTGGCCTAAGTGATGTTGTTAAACTCATAAAAATAAACCATGAAAACCTGGGGATTTACTGTGATTTGGGCAGTGAAACAAATTTACGACTGGCTGAAAATTTGAAAAATGGAGTACAATGTGTAGTAGATTAGAAGAAAGTAAGCTGTCCCTCTGCCCTTGTGTAGTTTTAGAAAAGTAATATTATTTTGGTAACTTTCTTTTTTTCTGGGAATAAAAAAATACACTGGCACCTAAGCTACGGAAAATGAAATAAAAATACACTAGTGCAGCTTCCAAAACACTGGCTTGCATCTCCCTTCTCCTATCTGCCAGGAATGTCTTATCCCTGCCTTCCAATGGCTGCCAGAACAAGCGAGGGCATCCATGGCGTTCCTTGGCATTAGCATTAACAGCAGATCGATTTTCCGCAGCAGCCAGGTGGAAGGTGCTTAGCGTTGGTGCGCCGTCTCACCGTACTGAATTTTCAAGAATCGTGGCCTACTGCCAGCCAGGTCCGAAGGCGCTAGTCTGGGGAGACTGGAGCTCGTCTCCTCTGGTTCACCTGTTCTAAGGCTCTTCCTGTTCAGTTGCCTCTGCGCGCCAGAGGGTGGCACCCCAGGCACTCCAGAGGTGGATTGGAGGGGATAGCAGGGGAAGAAGAGGGAGAGGAGCGGACTTTAGAACCAGGAAGGAAGGACCTAGGAGGGACGGGGAGGGAACATTAATAAATTCTCAGACCATGGTCTCGAGTTCCCGACTAATTTAGGGGCAGAGCCGCCCCCACGTTCACGCCCACCCCTTTACGGAAAAAACCTGGGTTTCCATTGGGCTAGGTGTCAGAATTGGGAATTTCTAAAATAAAAAAGGTTTCCGAGCGTTATTCATGGCCAACAGTTGCCACGGAAGAATCCAAAGGGAAACTAGTTTCTGGGGCCTCTGGGTGTGCGGGTGCTTGGGGATGGGCGGAAAGCCGTGGCACTTAATCGCTGTGAGTGCGCCAACATCTGACCTGTCCTTTTGTGTCGTGTTTTGCAGTTGCTGGATTTGTGTGACTCGTTGAAGGATGATGCCCTGAGGGTGATCGCCGCCTTTAACATTCCACACACCAACCTTCACGCACCAATCGCTGGAATCTCCAACCCGCGGGCCGCTTGGGCCTTCTACCCTGCACCGCTGCAGCCCGTGGCGCGGGAAGGGGCGCGCTCCCAGCTGCCCAAGCTGGGAGCCAAGCTCTAACGGGTGTGGCGGGAAGTGTGGTGGCCCGCCTGCAGCTGCCACTACGCTCGCTACACTGACGCCTGGAGCTGGGGCCGAGGCCGGGCTGGCACACGCTGGGCCGCCGCTCTCCGAGAGATTGTGGTGGCAGAGCGAAGGTCCCGCCCGCCGAGGCTGGCTGCTAGGAAAGAGATCCAGAGGGTCGCCTGGTGCGCTGGATCCCTGTGCCCTTTCCCTGAAACCTAGCTTGGCCCGGCTGCAACCCCTCCCAGCTTTGGTGCCCGATCGCCTAGACAATCAGGGTGGGCTCACCCTTGCGAGCGCGCCCCACAGCCGGGTGCCGCCAAAGGTCTCCTGCTGTCAGCGGTGACTCAGATTCCCAGTGATTTAGAAAAGCTGCGGTGCCAAGTGAAAGAAAAAAAAAGCAAACACCCTTAGACAAAAGCAAAAACTCCACTCCTTCCGCAAGCGGGCAAAAAGGTTGGGTTCAGCAAGTGATGCTTTTCCAGTGAATCAGACGTTGTGGGGCTCTGCGAGGAAACGCAAGGACGGGGAGAAGGAAGTGGCAGCCTGGAGTTTTGCTCTAGGCAAAGCAAGAACTCGCCTTGTCCTCCCAGGTCGGTGGTTTCCGGACGGCAAGACAAGGCGCGGAAAACATTTTTACCAACTGACGCTGTAATCTGTCCTTTAGAAGAGCATAGGTGAAACGTTTAATAAAGAAATTAAGCGATGTGGAAGTCGTTCCCGCTGCTGGCAGAGGGCAGTGAGGCGGGCCTGAGCAATTTCGGAACTAGGAGAGACCACTTCAGCAATGCCTGTGGCCCCGGGCAAGGGCCATGGATTTCCCATTTCTCAGATCCCGGCTGCCCGACTTCATTCTTGTTTCTTTCAGCCCAAGCCATCCTCCCTTCTCCCTCCCTTAGTCTCTTGGCAGAGGCAGAAAGGGACACCGCTGCCCGCGTCCACTGCAAGGGAGGTGACCTAAAACCCATGGGCCCTCACACACTGCATTCTCTGCGCTCCGGCCCGGTTCCGGGAGAACCTCCCTATGCCGCCGGAGAAGGCCGCAAGGGCTCGCGGCCCCCGACGCTGCCCATGTCTCGGGGGCGCACGAACCGCCAACTCTGGCCGGCTGCCTTTTAGTGCCCCAAGTAGCGCTTCGTGCGTTGCTTCCCCCGACTCCTTTGTTTTTCAAAGTGTTCACAGGGTCGCCAGAGCTAGCTACGCGGGGGCGGTGAGGCAGCAAGGCTGCACAGGAACAGACAACAAGAAACAGGGCTTTCTTCTGCGTGGTTCTTTTCCGGTCCCTGTCTGCACCACCCGACCCCGAGGCGAGCGCGGAGCATTGCTGCGTGGGGCGGACTTGGGGCTCTCAGCCCGTGCAGCAGGTTGCGTTGCTTTTCCCCGGGTACAAAACCGGATGGCCAAAGAGCAGTGTTCTTCGGCGGTAGGAACTTCGAGGCCGGGTCAGGGCAGATCTCCGGCCTGCGAGTCTACTTAGCCGCGTCCACACCCGTGCCTTTTCCCTCTTGCAGCGAAATAACTGGGTGGGGCCCGGCGCGCCTCCTCCAGCGGCTCCGGGAACCCATGGCCTTCATCACTTAGCTCAGAACTCACCTGAGACTGCGCTGAGACTTGGACCTGGGGCTGTGCTGTATCCCACTGACGTTACAGATGTGCTTAAGAATTTAAAAACTGATCCAGGCGGCCCGACGGCGGGACAACGCCTCCTCACTTGCTCCTCTGCGACAAGGCCCCGTCCTTCTCCATGCAGGCTGGGGTGCTGGGTAGGGTGGCCCCTTTCCTTAATCCAACTAGCCTGACCTCCCCCGCGGGATGTTCAATTTCCTGACCCACCTCATACACACCCCCGCCCCTGCAGTTGTCTAGAAGCCGGGGCTGGGGAAACTGAGGCGCTCGGGAGCAGAGAGGAGAGGAGAGGTTGGGGGCGGCAGCCACGCGTTGAGAGAGCAAACCCAGGGGCAGACTTAAGAGGACTGGAGGGGCGGCATGGAGTTTGGTCTCTGGGGAGGAAGAGAGTGTGGTGCCACGGACTTCAAGGAGGAAAGGGATGGGGGCGCGAGGGGAGGAGGGACAGGGTGTTTTGCGCCCCCGCACCGGGGCCTGAACTCTGCTGTTCTGCCTTCACCGGCCTCAGCCCATCGAAGGACAGCTCCTGCGAGCTTATCTGCAAGCCCAACAAAATCTCCGGGGTGCTAGCCGAGTGTAGGGCACAACCTTCTCTCTCACTTTGAGGCCGCCACTCACCTCGGCTTTTTTCTTTTCCTAAAAGGATTTTTTTCTGAGACCTTTTTTTCATTTCCCTATTTTACCTGCTCTGCACTGGGACCACGCCTGGCCATTTTCTGGGCACCTCCTGTCCCCACAGGCTGTGTCTGTTAGGGAGACTGGGCGAGGAAGAAAAGCTGGAGACACCCTGAGAGGTGGCAGGAGGAGGGTGCCTGAGTTCCGCGACAGGAGTGGGCAAGGAAGATGCGCAGCCTGCTGATCTGCGTCCCGCCCGGCGCTAGGGACCCTCGGAGGGAGGAGAGCTCAAAGACCTCGCCCTGCGCCTTCTTGAGGACCAACAGAGTCTCCGTGCCTGCCCCGGAGTGGCTTACAAACTCTGGGCACAGTGAGGGTGCAGTGCACCTCCTGAAGCTTTCCTCGGCCGGCCGGGCCAGCGGAAGCTGTGACCGGAGCGCCCCCATCTGTGCCGCGCACGCCGCGGCGGCCACTGGGTTGGGGGAGGTTAACGGGAAGCTAGGGTACACTTCAGGGTGGGGGATGGGCGCGCACATGGCCGCGAGCAAGCCCAGTCACTCCGGTAAACAAGCCAGGGTCGCAGGCGCTCGCGGTAGGCAACCCGGTGGGGCCACCCCGCCTTTACCTGTCCGAGCCTGCACGCGCCGACGGCCGCGGCGCCGCGGGGGCGGAGCTTGCTAGCCTGCGCGCCGGGGCGGGACCTAGCGGGGGCGGGGTCCGCAGTGATTGGGCGCGGGCGTGGGGCCGCCAGCCAGAGCTGGGCTGCAGGGCTGCGCAGGTTTCACTTCGCTCCGCGCAGCCGCCAGGTCTGCAGTTTGTTGGAGTTCTGCATCTGGCGCCGGCGCTGCCACTACCACCACTCAATTTTTGCAGCCGCTCTGCGAACCCTGCCACGCTGCGATCGCATCGTCGTATTCGGTTCGCTGCGCTCCTGCCGCCACCGCCTCGGCGCCCTTCCCTTGGCCCTTGTTCCCCCAATGTCTGACGCTGACTCTCGGACTGAGAAACGCAAGGTAAGTAACTCCAAATCCCGAGGAGCGGGTCGGGCACGGATGGAAGACACGCGCTGGAGCCCGAACGGCAGCATCTACTGCCCGCTTACCGTGCACGTGCAACCGAGACGCTTGCATCGGCCCTGCTTGTCGCCAGCGGGAGGCGGCGATCCGTGTGGGTCGGGTTCCTTCTCGGGCAGGTTCTTTTTAGGGAAAGGTCTTTCACGCGGAACCTGCGGGCTCTTGGCCGAAGTGCGGCTTGGGCCGGGATGCTGCGCGCAGGCCTGGTGAAGGGTCGCAGGCCCGGGGAGGGGGAGGAGCAGCGCTTGCTTTCGGCGCCGGCCGGGGGGTTGGTAACCGGCCCTTGCAGTACGGGGCTGTGCGCCCAGTCTGGAAGTCTCGCCGGCGGGCCTGGTGAAGGGTGGCAAGCCCGCGGAGGGGGAGAGGCAGCGCGTGCTTTCGGCGCTGGCCCGGGAGTTGGGGACCGGCCCGGAAAGTCTTGCCGCGCGCGGGCCTGGTGAAGGGTCTCAGGCCCAGAGAGTGGGAGAGGCAGCGCGTGCTTTCGGCTTCGGCCCGGGAGTTGGGGACCGGCTCCACAGTACCAGGCTGTGCGCCCAGCCGGAAAGTCTTGCCGCCGGCTCCGGCGCCCTGAGAGTAGTTGCCGCGCAGTGTGAGCGAGTTTCGCGTCTTGGATTTTTTTGGGCGCGCAGGCCTGTTGCGCAGGATTTGGGGAACTGCGGTGTGATTTAACTAACAAAACGGGGCTTTTCCTTTTACTCATTCAGGCCAAGGTTTCGGGGCTGCTGCTGGTTCGTCTTCTCTAGCGTACGTGGGGCCCCTGCTTGCTCTGCAGGAATCGTGCGGACAGTGCCATGCGCACTATCCACTGGCAGCGAGAGATTTAGGCCCTCCCCTGACCACCTGGACCGCGCAGGGAACTAGCCGCGACCAGCAGAACCTGCCTGGTCCCTGGGGCCGAGCTATCTCAACTACTTACGCGTGCCCAAGCACATCGACCCTGTTCGCGGTGCAGGCTGGTGGCGCCGTGGCCTCCGAGACCTGTTGCCCCAGGGTGGGCGCTACTGGTGGAGGGCCCGACCGATGCCTGGGCGGAGGGTGTGGATTTAATGGATGATCGCGGACCTGCACGTCTGTGGCCAGGGGAGGCTCTTCGGCTTTGCCTCGTGTCTGCGGCGCACAAGGAGAAAGGGAGGAAGTTGTTGGAGAATAATTGCAGCAGCTAGGGCTGTGACGGCCGTTGGGGTCTGCCCCCGACGGTCCAAAACAAGGACCAGTGGCGAGGACTGGGCCTGGGGATGGCCCTGTGGGTGCGGGCGCGGCGCAAGTCCTGCTTTGTCTACAGGTGACCCGCTGCCCCGAGCGGCGGGAGCCGCTGGGGCGTCTGTCCAGAAGGAGCACAGGGATGGGGCAGGGTAGCCGGGACAGCCGGTCCCCAAATCCTCCCGCGAAGCCGCCGCCACAGCCACGGCCCGAGCCGCGCTCCGAGGCGAGTTTGTCAACAATCGCCGCGCCTTTGGCGGCCTGACCCGTAGGCGCCGCCCCCACCGTGGCTGCCGATTGGCTGCGGCACGGAGCCACCGTGCGCGGACCAATTGGGAGCGCGGGCACCCGGCGCCAGCGGCGCGGGGAGGTCGGCGGTGCCGGCGGCGGCGGGCGCAGAGCGCAAGGGGAGGAGCGGGAGGAGGCGGAGGATGTTCCCGGCGGCTGCGACCGGGGCCGCGCGGGCCAGAGGCGCAGCGCGCGGAGCCGTCGGCTGCCCGGCGGAGCGCAGCGGCGGGCTGGCCGGAAGGCGTGGGCTCTGTGCTGCGCCGGGGACTCTGAACCCGAGTCCCGGGCTTTGTCTCCTGCGCTGGCTTCGTGGTGACGGTCAGGGGCCACCGGCTAGGCGAAGGGCGCGGGTCGGACGCCGCGGGGCCCGGTCCCGGACCAGGACGCTGCGCTCTGAAGGGAAGGCTCGGACGTGAGTTTCGGCGTGATTGCCTTCTGAGGGGAGGGTCTGTGGGGTGAAGGAGGTGCGCACCAGTGTTGCCTAGCATTCGGACCTAGTTGTGGACTTGGTAGGGGTTGGCTTCGGGGGGACCACCCCAAATTTGGAGGTGTGCACCTCACCCTGCGGCTGCACCTCGGAGAAGTTCTGCCTGATTCGGTGCGGCGCGCAGTAAGGGAGCGGGAGGGAGGGACCACGGCTGGAGAGCCCGGAGCCCGGCCGAGCCGCGCTGGAGTTACAAACTCTATTGTGACGCACTTACTACGACTGACGGCCGCTGCCAAACCTTCCCCAGACTTGCTGTCCTCAGCATTTTCGGCAAACAATGGGGCCGGAGCAGGGAACACGGCCAGCCTCCTGCAGTCGCTGCATCTGCACCTTCTCCTATGCTGCAGCCTCCTATCTAACCAACCCCGGGAAATCAGAGCCGCAAGGAATTTCTGACTTAAGTCTGTTATGGGCAGAG